TTGTTTAAGAAAATACTACTGTGGGCAAAAAGTAAGGTGAATTTTCAATTTAAACTTCGCGGGCTTAACATTTCGGGCTAGTTCTTTTTTTCTTGAGTTGGTAGGACTGCGAATGACATCTGGGACAAATTTCATGTCAATGTCATCATCAGTAATATATTTACGCTTGTGTTTATCAAACGACCAAGAGTGCATGTTTCGATTTTTACAATGTCTGATTTAATTGAGCAAAGAAGTGCCATCAAATTTTGTTTGCGGAATGAAATTTCGGCTGCGGAAACGTTGAGGATGTTGCGAAAGGCCTTTGGTGATTCTACCATGTCGCAGAAAAATGTTTATAAGTGGTACAAAGACTTCAAAGAGGGTCGAGAACGTGTTGATGACTTGGAGCGCTCCGGACGACCATCGACGTCAACAGATGACCAACACGTCAATAAAGTGAAGGAATTAGTGCTCGAAAATCGTCGGTTGACTGTTAGAGACCTTACTGATATGATCGGAATATCAGAAGGATCTGTGAAAACAATTTTGAAAGACCATTTGGGCCTACGAAAAGTCAAATCTCGTTTGGTACCGAAAACGCTCAATTTCTTGCAAAAAAGTCGCCGCGTTGATGTGTGTGAAACAATGCTTTCTGACTATCAGGACAAGCTCAAATGCATGATTACGGGAGATGAGACTTGGATTTATGCTTACGACCCTGAAACAACCGACCAATCAAGCGAATATCGTGCTAAAGGCGAGGCCAGACCGAAAAGAGCACATCAAAGTCGTTCAAAAATCAAGGTCATGATGACAGTTTTCTTCGATTTTCGTGGTGTGGTGCACTATGAATTCCTTCCACCCGGCCAAACTGTTAATAAGGAATATTATTTGAGCGTTATGCGTCGTTTGCGTGAAGCAATTCGTCTAAAAAGACCAGAATTATGGGCCAACAACTCTTGGTTTTTACATCACGATAATGCACCATCTCACACTGCACTCGTTCTTCGTGACCATTTCGCCAAAAATTCGACGCATATCGTTCCGCAACCACCGTATTCGCCTGATTTGGCTCCGTGTGACTTCTGGCTATTCCCAAAACTCAAGAGACCACTCCGGGGAACGCGTTTCGAGTCGATTGAGGAGATAAGAGCTGAATCGAAGAAGGCGCTGATGGCTATACCGGAAAGGGACTATTTGGCATGTTTCGAGGATTGGAAAAAACATTGGCATAAGTGTATTTTATCGGGAGGGGATTACTTCGAAGGGGATGACATTGATGTAGAAGAATAAATAAAGATTTTTCATTTTACAAACAAATTCACCTTACTTTTTGCCCACAGTAGTAGGACAGAAAGCTTTGAATTTTCACAAATTGTACATTTGGAAATTTGACTAACATAGTAATTGTTGGGTTACGAAGTTGCAAAGAGTTTGCAAAATTTTTTTTCTATTGAAACCGTGTTAGAGATCACGTTTGAGTGGCGGGCTAACGGTTTTATGTAATATTATGGATTCAGTTTTCATTACAAAAGTTTTTAGTATATTTGGACATTTCTAGTACATTTATTTTACAGTTATTTGTTTTTGGAACAAATTGACATTTGACAAAAAAACGTTATATACATTTCTTTCATGTTTTTTCCCGTAGAATCGATTGCCGCTATCATTTTTTTAAAAATAATACCTTTTTGATAATTTGTTTAAATAATTTCTTATAAACAATTGCAAACGGCAAAAGAAAAAACAGGGGTATTTTTTTTTTTGATTTAGCTACGATTGGCATAGTTAGTTTGGCGCTATCGGCAATAGATTTTGCTTGGGATTTGGCGTATACACATGTACCTGACAGACTTGCAATTGTTTATAGCCGTTTTACACTAACAAATTGACGTCTGACAAAAAAACGTTATATACCTTTCTTTCATGTTTTTTCCCGTAGAATCGATTGCCGCTATCAGTTTTTTAAAAATAATACCTTTTTGATAATTTGTTTAAATAATTTCTTATAAACAATTGCAAACGGCAAAAGAAAAAACAGGGGTATTTTTTTTTTCGATTTAGCTACGATTGACATAGTTAGTTTGGCGCTATCGGCAATAGATTTTGCTTGGGATTTGGCTTATACACATGTACCTGACAGACTTGCAATTGTTTATAGCCGTTTTACACTAACAAATTGACGTTTGACAAAAAAACGTTATATACCTTTCTTTCATGTTTTTTCCCGTAGAATCGATTGCCGCTATCAGTTTTTTAAAAATAATACCTTTTTGATAATTTTTTTAAATAATTTCTTATAAACAATTGCAAACGGCAAAAGAAATAACAGGGGTATTTTTTTTTTCGATTTAGCTACGATTGACATAGTTAGTTTGGCGCTATCTTTCCCAGGTTTGGCATGGGCCTTAATGGGTTAATTGACACGGAAATGCCGTTGCACTCACGCACGTAATTGTCCCAAGAAAACTTTATATCGGCGAAACAAAGTGCAAAACACAAATCGGCTGTAAAGTCGCGTGAACAGCTGAGGCGTAACTGTTTAATTTAAATGTTCGCGCGCCTCCTCTCTCTCTCTCTTAATTGTTCGTACTAACGCGCGAGTTACCGAATCGCGAACGGATCGATTAATTGAATCGACTACCGTTGCATTCTAAACCTAAAAACGTGGCTTGCCGAACAACGATTCATTTCAAATGAGCAGGTCATAACATAAATAAATGGTTATTTTAACTTACAAAATTATTTTTTCTGATGGCTTAAAAAAACTTGAAGGATGCCTGGAAAAGTGTGTCAAGCTAAAAGGAGATTATGTTGAAAAATAAAGAAAATCTCGCAAAAAATTGTTTTTCTATCTCTTTCTAAGGACTTATTGACCCACTCTTGTAACATGGATTTTTCAGCTAGTTTTGTTGAAAGATATAACCTTTTTCTATTTGAAATCAGTAAACAATTCTTTGATACTCGTAACTTTGAGGGTCTGTTTCATCTCCTAATATCATTTATCCGTAAAAAAAATACGCGTGTTTTAATTTTTAATGTTCTACAACATATTACAAGTGACTGAAATTGGTGATCGAAACCTAAAGTAAATTCCTTGTGACTATAGATCAAATTCTTTTGGATTCTAAGTTATTCATTTTGAACTTAACATCTGAAGTAAATTTATAAAGCTCACTTATTGATTTATGGGATAAAAAAATATTTCGACTTTGTTGATATTTGTTGAGATTTCATATTTTTACTGACAAAAAATTTTTCTAAGACCAAAAAAAGAGAAAAATTATTTCTTGTAAAATTCATGATATTTATTATGGAATAATATTGAATGAGTAAAAAAAAATTTGATATAGTTTTTAATCATTTTGACGTACCAGCTGTGATTAAATAAAATTTTGTAAATCGACAAAATTTTTTTTTCGAAAAAATAAAAAAAAAATAGTACAGTATTCCACTTTCAAAAACTAACATTTTTTCTCCTATACATTTTTTGAATTTTTAGAATTTACGAAGTAAAAAATGTTTAAATTGTCACTTCCCGGTAAAAATGCCCGTCCGCGCGTTGGTTTTGACGAAAACAATATTTTGAGCAGTGATTCAGATAGAGCTCGATAAAAGTTAAAACACGTTTTGACTTAAATTTTTGTAAGATTATTTTTCTAGATTTGATAAATTTTGAAAGTTAGCAAAAAATTTTCCGAATTTTCAATGTTGAATTATTGCTTGCAAAAAATTAAAAAATAATTAGTGGCATTCCTGAGTTATACCATTCAAAAGCTCTTGTAAAGACCTTTCAAACGCGCTCCAAGGCGACTCTGTAGGTTAAGTTTTACCAGAGACATTGAACTTTAAATTTTGACTAATTTTGCGGTGGGGAACCTAAAGTAGATGACGGCATGTAGTAGTATACTATTATATCTAGTTATTTTATCTTACACTCTATACGTATGAGATAAAACTTCATACTAGAATAATAGTGATTCTATAGAAAATGTTTAGTAAATATTTAATGGCTGTTTTTTTGTTATGAAATGGTTTTGGTGAACTATTCTCAGTAATCTAGTATGTAGGTTCTTTAATCCTTTAATTGATTCTGAATAGGCTTCTTCTCATGCAATTATCCCATAGGAGCAAATGCTGTGAAATAGTGCATAGTAAAGGATTCTTAGTACATTGGAATACATTATTCGTGATAGTTGGTAAAGGCAAAAGTTAAATATTTGGTCCTTATTAGGGCTCATCGTGTTTCTTTGGTAATTTATTTATGTAAATAATGATACACGTCACCGCTATGATATACTTTGAACTTGTTTAATGCTAACTGCTCCTTATATTTTCTGCGCAAATTAAAAATAATACGAAAACATGAAAAAGAAAGCAAAAGCTAGTGGATCAGTTAAACGGGAATTAGAAAATTCGCAAACTTCAATTGAATCGATGATGTGCTATTCGTCAAAAGATAAATAAATAAAAAAAATATCATTTTATTCAAAGAAAGTACAGTCGAACCTCTGCTACTGCACCCACCGCAACTGCCCGACCTCTGCCACTGCCCGTTACCTAGCCTCTCTAACTGCCCGATTTATGACTTGAGGCAGTGTCGTACGCTTTCGGTCGCTTACCTGGCACCTGCCGGCGGCGCACTTTTATGAGTCTGGCGCCGACGCGTCGCTCTTATATCTTGCATATCTCCAAGTACAAGATGACTCCTTGTAATTTGTGACTTATGATTTACACTCCTTGTAATTTATGACTCTTGCAATTTGTGGGGGGGATATGTACCTAAATTTGTAACATTTTCTCCGGGCCCCCCCTCGAGACCAGCGCGGCACGCCACTCAATGCCCGTACCTGACGGAGCGCTCTTATTGGCTAACGCCAGAGAGCCCGTAGCGGGCAGTGGCGGAGGGCACTAACTCCCGAGAGCGTGTAGTAGCAAAGGTCCGACTGTAGATATAATGCAAAGGGAATTGAATTAATTAAATTTAGATTATTTGAAAAAAATACTGTGGCAAACACCTTGTAAAATCCAGTAATTCCTTCAGTTATTCTGATTTTATTTAATGCGTCAATCATTCCTGAGTACTGTTTTGAAACTGATAAATGAATATCTTCAGCATACTGCAAACAAAGTCTAGTCTTAATAACCCATACTGGATTAGTCAGCAAGAGTGTAAGAATTCCAGCGTTTACGGCCGCCGTCATGTGCATCCAAGGACTTAATTGTTCATTGATACTTGTATCTTGTATACAGGTTTTTATAGAGTTGTATCTGGAATAAAAATAATTATATCCTTTTTTTTATTTCTTCGAAAGGACAGCTTTATATCAATTACTTTCAATCGTATAATTTATTATTTATTTCGATTTTTAAAGGTTGATAGTTACGAAAATTATGTTTTTATAAGCGGTCGGAATTTCCAAAAATATGCATATTTTAAATAAACATTAAATTTATATTTATGTGGTCTTTTTTGTTCTCATGATTATTTTTTAAAACTTCACTGTTTGCAAAAAATATAGATAAATGTCCTAGAATGACTGGACTAACTGTTTTCCTTACTCATACTTCGGTGACCTACGAGTATTAACCCATTAAGGCTCATGCCAAAACAGCACGAGACAGCGCTAAACTAACTATGCCATTCATAGCATAAGTGAAAAAAAAGTACCCCTGTTTTTTCTTTTGTCATTTGCACTTTTTAATTAAACATTATTTAAACAAATTACCAAAAAAGTTAATATTTTAAAAAACTGATTGCGGCAATCGATTCTATGGAAAAAAAATGATAAAAACGTATATTACGTTTTCTAGACAAACTTCAAATTGTTAGTGTAAAACTGCAATAAACAATTGCAGGCCTGACAGGCTTACGTGTACGAGGTCTGTCCGGAATGTATCGGTCTTACGTTTATATCTTCGCGCCATAGTGTTCGAGCGACCTCTACCGGACAGAAACGTCAACAGTAAAGCCTCACGAATCTATTGGTTACTTACTGACACCTGCCGGACGTATAGTTCATGCGCAGCGTGTCTTTGTTTACAGTGCTTTTTTCGCGTTCGTCGGATTTAGATATTGTCAAAAATGACTGAAAAACAAGATCAACGAATTTGCATCAAATTTTGCTTTCAACTCGGAAAAACGAGTTCGGAAACTATTGAAATGATGCAAAAGGCCTTTGGAAGCGAGTGTATGAGCAAAACACGAATAAAAGAGTGGTATAAACGGTTCAAGGATAGTCGCACTTCTGTCGATAGTAATTCTCGTTCCGGCCGACCTTCGACGACAAAAACCGCAGATAATGTTGAGCGAGTGCGACTTGCAATCGAACAAGAACGTCGTATGACTGTGCGAGAACTAGAAGAAGACCTTGGGATACCAAAAACTATCATTTCAGAAATTTTAACCGAAAATTTATGAATGAAACGCGTGTGTGCGAAATTCATCCCACAATTGCTCACAGCAGAGCAGAAGAACATTCGCTTAGAAATCGCTCTAGACAATCTGGAAATGGTCAATAATGATAATAATGTGCTTAGAAAAGTTATTACAGGTGATGAATCATAGGTTTATGGTTATGATCCTGAAACAAAAGAACAATCTTCACGGTGGAAGCATTCTGAATCGCCAAGACCGAAAAAAGCAGGTCAAAGTCGGACCAATGTTAAGTCAATATTGATTGTTTTTTTCGATTGTGAAGGTGTTGTTACATCACTAATATGCACCAACAGGTCAGACAATCAATAAAGAATACTATGTTCAAATTTTGAAACGTTTGCGTGATGCAGTAAGAAGAAAACGGTCGAACTTTTGGGAAAGTGGTGACTGGCTTCTCCATCACGATAATGCGCCAGCGCATTCATCCAACCTTGTGCAGCAGTTTTTGAGCAAACACAATATCGCATTGCTTCGACAACCTCCATACAGTCTCGATATAGCCCCTTGTGACTTATAGCTGTTTCCAAAACTAAAAAAACCACACAAAGGACACCGATTCGATGACAAAACAACGGTTGAAAACAATGCGTCAAGTGTACTTAAGGCTATCCCTAAAAGTGAGTTCCAAGACTGTTTTGCAAAGTGGAAACATCGATGGAACCGTGTTATTGAATCAAGTGGGGATTACTTTGAAGGATGCCACCCACCAGATGATAAATAATAACGCTAGCACGAAAATATAAGGGTAGGCCCGATACTTTCCGGACAGACCTCGTATACGCCAAATTCTAAGCAAAATCCATGAAAGGATAGACTTTATAGTCATTTCCTAGCGTCAAATTTAAGTCTGACCAGAAAACGTTACATACGTTTTTGTCATATTTTTTCCCGTAGAATCGATTGCCGCAATCAGTTTTTAAAAATATTAACTTTTCTGGTAATTTGTTTAAATAGTTTTTTATAAACAATTGCAAATGGCAAAAGAAAAAATACGGGTACTTTTTTTCACTTATGCTATGAATGGCATAGTTAGTTTAGCGCTGTCTCATGCTGTTTTGACATGGGCCTTAATGGGTTAAGCTTAGCTTGAAAACGGTCTGCGCGATTACAGGGAAGATTTCGTATTCAGAGATAATGTCTGTGACGATGCAAGCAGTACGTTTACTTATAGTCTGCCTCCCTCCCTCTTCCCCCTTTTTTCTGCAAGACACAGTGGCCAACATTGGGCATATATTAGAAATGTGCTTAACGCTTTACCCTTTGTTTCAATATCGAAGATTGCCGAAAAGCGACTGAAGAGACTCGAGGGGCTCCAGTAGTGAGAGCGAGAAGGATACAGCGAGTCCCTTCCTGCATAGAAAGACGCTAATAAGGACTGTAACCACACGCGAGAGTCTTCGCCCAGCTGCTCACGTAATACAAGCTGACTTGTTGCAAGGTACGCAATTTGGACGCCTGCTAATTGAAAAAGAAGAGTTGCTACTCAATGCAGTTTCGCTTGGCCGCCTACTTCACCACGCCAACCAGCCCGAAAGAAAAACAAGTCAGGCTTTCGTTTTCTCTCTCTCTAATCTTTCTCGCCATGGCAAACTTGTGATTACAGTAGATTTAAGTACGGGAATACTCGGTAGCCAAGCAATCATGCGTCGGCTACCTGAGATTCCTGTATGTTCCGAGCAGCGGCTTAATTGGTTAAGTGCGGGGGACAGGTAGTGAGCTGCTAAGGCGTTCACCCGCCAGGTAGTTCAAACTTGATTTGTTTTGATCACAAATATTGCATTGGGATGTGTCTCTTTCTATTCTTTCTTAGTGGTAAGGGATCTGTATTGAATTTGTTCGTTCATTGTTTTTTAATGATTAAAAATAAGATTATGTAGTTTGGTAAACGGTGTGTATATTTATTTCCTTGGTGACAACGCGCATCTTTGTTATATGTCTGTGCTATCGACTCAGGCTTTGAACAATTTAATTTTCGGTACTATCCGCAATGAATCGATAAACTCAACGTGTATTTCAACATTGTTTTCGGGAAGATGATTACCTTTCTTCATATCAATGGATATTTCAATCGAAGACCTTGTTAAATAACCTTAGATTTTGTAAAACATGTCTTGAATAAAGGTAAGGCAATATATTTTTAGTAACAACGTTAAAAGGGTACCCTGTTAACCCATTTCTTTCCAATCGACCATGAGATTACCGATTGGTTTATCGTCTTGTAAAATGGGTAGAATCGCTTGAAATCGACATGCAAAATACCATTTCCAAAGCAAAAAGACTTGCTCTTTCCGAATCTGCAAACAGATTTTCAAAATTTTGCGATCCAAAAACAATATGGCTGCTCAAACTTAGTGAAAATTTCATTTTTCATGTTAACTGAATTTCCTTTTTTTTCGAGTAAAGTATGTAACGTATACCTACTAAACAATTTTATTTCACTATCATTATGGTTGTAGGACTTCTGTTATCGATTATTGATATTTTTGAAAATCCAAAATTTAAAATGGCGGACGAAAAATAGAAAAATTCTGAAAAATGAAGGAAAATAAGAAAATATATATTTCTTGTATTTTTGAGGGTGCTGATTTGATATCTGGTGTTGATTTTTGAAAATTCTTGCATCGAAAATCAATATCGAGCATTCGAAATGGCTGATATACTTAATTTATTTTATAAATATATTTTTTCTAGCAAAAATCCACAGGTTTAGCATTCATTAATTTTCTAAATAATAATTATTTCAAATCATACTTCACTTATAAAACGGCCGCTAGGTGGCGAACAGTCATTTTTTTGTACTTGCAGTAAAATCTGCAATCCTAAATCCATATAGGTACCCGATATTTTCCGTAAATTTGTATACTTAAAAAAAATAAACTACAAAATTTATATTACTATTGTATTACAATAATAATAATTTATATAAAAACTTCGACTACTACTGCGATTGATTTATTATAATATTTCTGAACCTCATAATATTATAATTTTGAATAACTTTACAAAATAACATCTGGTGTAAAGTATGCCAAAGAAAAACACAAAGCAATCCGACAGTAGCATTACTGTTGAAACTACTGAGCTTATGGATTTAGATTCCGATCATGTTGACGGAGCAGATAAAACGTTTTCTAATTTATCCGAAAGTTTATTTAGAAACAGTGTTCAGATTATTAAAGGACGCAATTGTCCAGAAGGGTATCGAATAGTTGACGAATCCCTCATTTCTTCAAATAAAAAACTAGAACCTTTACATGAGTATGTATGGAAAAAAGGAGAAAAATTTTATGATTCAATACCAAAATCAGAAATATATAGTTAACTGGATCAGGACTTTCAGGTGTTTTAGGTCCCAAGTGGATTAGAAATGTTGTTAAGCTGTTCCAGATAGCTGCTAAAAGATGGAATGACCAACCGTATATACTGTGAAGTGCAATTCCATTCACGAGGAAGTCGACTAGCATCTTGACTCCTTGAAGTATCACGAAAATTGCCATGATGCCAGCACTAACTGTGCTAAAGGTCATAAATTTTGACCACATACGGTTCCAAGTACTTGATACTAGACGTTCCATTGCATCTTCGTTTAATAATCTTTTTGCCATTCCTTCGTTGTCTCGTACGAGATGGCCCTTGATTTCTCGAGTTACGTCATTGATTACTACTGAAAGCTCGAGAGGATACATAATTCTGGTCAATAATTCTTCTAGGTCCTTTTCTGAGTAAATACCACTGGTAGCAAGTGTGGGAATGTCTTGATACTTCCAAGTCATTTCTGCAAAAGGTTTCAGGATCTCTGGTGGTCGAGCATCTACTGGCTTAGGTAAGAATT